GGCAATGGCAATTTTTGATGGTCTCTACGGAGACTGATACACCTGTTCAATGAAAATTATTCGACACTGAGTGTTTTAATAGCATATTGCATAATTAAACCTTTGTATACAAGATCGGTTTGCGACACAGTTAAGATGTAATACTGTTGAAATTCCTGCATAATCTTTCATGCAGGTCAGATGTATGATGAACAAACTCCTCAAAAGTCATTCACGACCATAAAAATACTACTAATAAAAAAAGTTTACAAATAACATTTTCTTTTTGTTTGGAAAATATGATTTAGCCCAAAACAAGGCAATAACAACAAATGGGCTTGGTGTAATGACTACAACAAAAAGTATTATTTGCTTTTCTAAATTTACTAAAAGAAGTACACGACTCCCTTCTGCTGCTGTTACTACGTTTTCTCACTAGATGGCACTGTTGTAACACTGTAAGGCTTAAGCCAGGGTTTTAAATGGAGAGATTCAGAGGATGCTGCTGTTAATGTGGAGTAAAAATAGAGTTAAAAACATTTTTAAAAACCTGCCTAATCTAAAAAAACAAAACAAAAACAGCCTAGACGTTTTTCAATACCACCCCCCCCCCCCCCCCCGTCTGCCAGCGTAGAATAATGATTCAAATTTTTTATTGAATAGGTATCTTCTGTTGAGCCATTTCCTCAATTCTCTATAGGACAACTTCATATATTTTATGAATGAGATTTGATTAAAGAATTTCATTGGCTCATTCTAGAATAGGATGAATTCTTGCTCAGTGAACGAGGCAGCAGTGGAGATAACCAGAGAAGATAACTACTGCTTGACTGACTGCTTTGATTCTGTTTATCTTTAATGAGTCATCCAAAACCTTCGACTTATACTGTCAGATCCAAAGCACACTAAATTATTTAGGGAAGTATTCCTTTTCTTTTATATATAATATTGATTTTGTAAAATCTAATACATGATTATTATATCCATATAGCACGGAAATTTACCACAGGCTTAAAAATTTCATTGTGCAAATTTGCAAGGTAAATACATATATTTTATTTCCCATAAATTCCCTTATAATACACAGACATGTAAGATATATCCCCCTATCTTCATCTATGGGCTCCATTTTTACTACTCTGCTGAGTCTCTGCCACTTTGAGAGAACAGGGCGGCAGTTCATGGAAATAGATCAAAACAAGCCAACAACAGGTGTACCTCAAATCCCATCACGGACACGAAACAACAGAAAAACTTGTCTAGTGCGATAAGGGGGTTCCAAACTGGAGACTGCTGAAGAAAGAAGAAGAAAGTAAATATTGGGGAGATAGTGGGGGGCTCAGATCTGTCTTAGGAATCACCCTCGTTTTGCTAAGAAGGAAATATGCTACAATCAAAATAAATTCAATTTTTATAACTTACTCAAACTAAATGACATCCAAGGTCTGAACAAACAACTCGTGAAGCCTCAGTTAGAGACTACAATACTTTTTCTCTTCTCCCATGCATGTGCACAGCACTGTTGTCATTCCAGCTTTTCACCAGAGGGGGCGGACGTCTGCTAAAACTCTTTGAGATAGCTGTAATAACACGTTTATCTACTCTTGCATAGTATGACTTAGGGCTGGACGATAAAGAAAAAAAGCTTATCGATAAAAAAAAAAATGCATATTGATCGATATTGATAATTATTGAAAAGATTTGAAACCATATTTTATGTGCAGCTCTGCCTGGACTTTTTATAAAATTGCTAAATGATTTAATTTTAATAAAGAACATAATTAAATCTGTATTTAAACAACTTCTTTAACTATAACAGAATTGTTTTAAGGAAAAATAACTTAAGAGACCTGGTTTATGTTATTAAATACTGACAAAGAATAAACTAAAGTGACCAGAAAAGTGACCAAAATAAATATAACAAATAAATAAATGGACCCATGCATTATGTGAGAACATGGTTTTAGAAGGCTTTAAATGTGCTTGAGGAATTAGGGAATAGCACTAGGCTGGTTGTAATCTTATTTTGCTTGGGTTATATGAATGATAAAACTGCACGCTAGTTTCTGAAGTCCAATGGGGCTCATTGCTAGGGCCAGTGCTCTTTAACATCAATATGCTTCAAAATAAAATCAGAGCAATGGGATTAACAGTGTCATGCTAATGATGCTTACCTAAACTTAATCAAATACTAAATCAGTTTAAGTAATTTCCCTTGCACTTTCGGAAGTTTCGCTTTCCAGTTTACTTTATCCAATTCTTCCAATTTTCCAGTTTGAATTCCTAAAATCTTGATTGTGTATCTTTTCTCAGCCAACCCCCGTGTCTTTCTAGTCTCTTTCCAATTAAAATGAACCTGTCATGATATTGGCACTGATGGCTGGATCTGCTTAGCTTCGCCCAGCGCTCATTGTCACCCATCGAATTCACCTGTTGCTGCTTTCTATTTAACCTCCTAAGCCTGGGTGGCACGGCACCGGACAGAATTGAGTTCTGCTCATGTTTATCTTTTTATAGAAATGGCCAAAACACAGTCCCACATTGTTTCATCCTCACGCCTTTTAAAATGGCACTTTAAATTTTCTAAAACATGTTTGAAAGTAATTTTTTCACAAATACTTTGTGTTTAGTAGCCGTGTAAACAAATAAAATGAGATCTTAAAATTCCACCTGACATGTCTGACTCTGCTGGAATAATGCAAAAGCATTCCAAAAAAGACAATTAAAAACAATCCACTGGATTTTCCAAGTTTGAAGATGTTTCCCTTCCCATCCGGGAAGCTTTTTCAATTAAAAATTTCAGGAATAGCGTTGAGTTCAAGGTTTTATACAGTAGTCCAACAAAGCCTTGTTTTTAAAAACATGCATATTGGAACAGACAAAGGGGTCCACCAATTTGGCATGGGGGTCATGCAACAGCGTGAATTCATTTTTAGCCACACCTCCTAATGGCCGGAGGGAAACTAGAGGGTCAGACAGTGCAGGCAAAACTTAGGTGCTGCAGAACAATATCCAGGCAAGCTACAGCGCTTTGTGCTTTATCTGCTGTTATAACAGGAACTGTTTTATTTATTTATTGTTTTTCCTCCTCCACCAATACATTTTTTATTGTGTGTAATAAGATACTTTGTTGTGATAAACTACCTTTATTTATTTTCATAGTGGGGAGGATGTCCTGGGACCATCACAAATACAGCAGGCCAGGTCCCCCACCATGGCTGAGAGTTCATTCTCTTCAAGGTGAGATTTCTATTCGGCAAAGATATGAATAGATTCATATATTAGGACTAATGTGTCATAACTTCCTCAGATTTCTTTTCCTATGATGATTCAAAGTAGGTGTTAGATGCTGCTAAAGTGTTATTGTTTTTAAAGAAAATATATTCTTGAACATATATTTGATTGGTTTTACAGTGATAATGCACCAGAAGAGGAGTACCACGCTCCTTCTAGGCAGCTATGTTCAGTCTCAAGACCTGAGAAGCACAAGGTTCCATCTCCTTCAAAAAGCAAGAAAGAAAACTAGAAAGCAGGTTTTCCCTGCTACATTTTCCTCGAAACATCCTCCAGGACCCCAAGTAGACACCACAACAAGTAGACATTGTAAAGAACACAAATCAAAATGCAGAAAGGATACTAGCAGGCAGAAAGAATGGCATGTCAATGGCAATTTTTGACGGTCTCTACGGAGGCTGATATTTATGTGAAAGTGTAACATTGATTATGTCTTTAAAGCCTTAGTTCTGTATTTCTGTGGTTATGACAACGGTTGATGTTTTGAGCCTGTAAAACTTGCTTGCTGAAATCTTGACGTTGTGTGGATTTCCCTTAAGAACAGTATCACTAAATTGCACATCACCCAAGACTCACCCCCAAAACCCAGTGAACTTTTGTCATCCTGTTTCCATTAAGTTTATCAATAGTAAAAGCAGAAACAAAGGTGGTCCCAAACATTCTTGAACGTTTAACAGACATTTAACTATCAAGGTATTTTGCAAAGCCCAAATCAATGTTTTTTAATGTCCTTGGTGTTGGCCGAAATCTATGCATTTTGAACCTCCTTAGTAAATATGATTACGCCCTTAGCCAGAGAGATAAATGATAGCTTCTTGTTTTTAACGGTGTCA